TCAAAAATCATCAGGAAAGTCCTGGATTCTTTTTTTTTTTTTTTTTTTTGAGAAATGTTTCCCGTAGTCCTGGGATTTTGGTCCATTTTGTGATCCTTGGCAGGCTCCTGTCCAGTTGGCTTTGAAAGACTGCAGCAGGGAGCTTTCCAAAAATGGGGAACAAAGAACTGCTTCATCAGCCTCCTGGACTTTCCCTTAAAACCAAGAGTAATAATGCTTATTAAAACGATGTTTATTTTAAATGCTTAAAATTAACAGTGGCGTTTCCTAGTTACTCCATATTTCAAGATAAAGTTGGCACCCATCTCTTAAAGCCACCCTGTCCTTTGTGTGTGAGGCACATGGCTTTACCTGGGTTTTCCCTGCTCTGACTGCTGCATGGAGTTCCCCCACATACTACAGTCATAGAGAGTGCTAGCTCAGCCCTGTCCTCACTGGGGCTGTGGAATAGCATGAGCTTAACATCCTGTGGCTGCCCGTTTCCTTAGGCACTCCCTGGTGGAGTCCCTGAAGTCACTGGTGTGCATTTTTAAGTGCTTGCAGAACTTTTCCTTGGAAGATGATGTCACATGTGTCTGTCCCTCTGTGAGAACATCCTTGGGCCTAGCACTAGATATGCCCTTCAGGAGCAGGAGTGCAGCTGCCCAGTGGTCCCCTGGATGCCTGCCATGGTGACTTCATGTATCCGAAGAACAGATAACTAGTAGTCTTGTCTAATGCAAGAGGCAAGTGTGGGGTGACAGACAGGAGGTCAGCTAAGAAAGTGGCAGACGGATGATGATGGGGGTAGAAGCAAGCAAGGCTTCCCACTGACAAGCCTGCACTGGACGCACAGCTCTGTGGGGAAATGAGGGAGCTGAAGCACAGCCAAAGGCCAGATGCAGCGGCTAAGTGTAGGGTCCTGCACTGCCAAGATGGAAATCCATGTTCTCCCGTGGTCCCCGGAGGAAGCTGGAGTGGGCCAGTCCAGTCTGTGCAGGTGTTCAGTTACTTGTTTGCCGTCTCCTAAAAGATGATTTAATGAAACATCTGTGTTTGGGCTCAGCTTTAATAATGTTCTGTGGCTCAAGAGCAGATGAATTTATATTCTGAAACATCTTCAACTAGAAGAACTAGCTTTTACTTTGCTCTTTAAATAATAATGACCTTTTCCATTGAAATCTCATAATTGACAGGGAACTTTCTTTTGATATCACGTCTGAAGTCTTCCTGTTGGGGATTTCCATATTCATACACTTGAGCTTTTTAAATATTTTTTAATATGGAAATTTAGTAGGCTCAAAAGCAGGTAAAACTATTTTTACATTTTAGGTTTTTAATTCCACATTGATTTATTGTGTGCGCATATGTTTGTGTGAGCACATAAGCATGACGTGGTGCACATGTGAAGGTCAGAGACCGTCTTCCAGGAGTTGGTTCATTCTCTACACCATGCAGGTCCTTGGGATCCGGCTCAGCTTGTCAGCCTTGACAGCAAGTGCTTTTACCCAATGAGCCATCTTGGAGGCCATATACATTTGTTCTTTTTGTCATTTTTTGTTGTTGTTGAGCATCTACTGAGTGACAAATACTACTCTTAAAAAGAGCATGCCCCCCAAATAAATAAGTGGCTTAAAGATGTCTCCTATGAGAAGCACATCACTTTGTGATACTGTAGTAACAGGGCAGATAAAAGATGTCACTGAGTTATGACTTTTGCTATTCAGTAACTCTCCCAGGAGCTTAGGGGAGGTGACCACATGATTCTGAGACTGACCTGTACTCCTTAATGGATGGCTTTCTTTTAGAATCATAGGTCCTTTTGGGTTGCAAATCCTATGAAGCTAGCCCCCCCTAATGTTAGACTTTTTTTTGTTTTGTTTTGCAACTCAAATACATACAAATTCTATTTTGCTTGCATTCAATTTATCTTTTACTGTGGAATAATTTATTCTGCTTTTTAGTCTTCTACTTTTCCACATAATTATTGTGCTTCATAATATTCAATCAGAAAAATTAACTGTTTTTTATTTCATTTAGAATAAAAATTGAGTAATTTACATCAATTTAAAACAAATCAGGAAGCTTTAAAGGGAAGCTCATCATAATTCCATGAATTTCCTGCTATTTGTAACAATTTTTTAACAAAAAGAGCTTTTATGAATGTGTTCAGCATTACATGGTTCTTAAAATATGGCTGTTTGCCAAATTCCACAGATAGTTTAAATTCTTGTCTTCAGGAGATTTGTTGAGAAGGAGTCATTGGTTAGTTTAGAAGGGTATTCAAGCTCAGTGTTTGCAATCTTCCAAACAACTCTTTAATGTTTGCTTTTCTGCTCAATCCCAGTTGTTTCTTCTCTGACAGTTTGGAATCTGGCAGTGGGAAGCAAACTGGGCTTTTGTTGAGCGGTTTTGATGCTGCAAGGGGAAGCTGGTTACCTTGACAGTGTGCATGATGCATATGTACAGTCCAGTTTGTGTTTTGCTTTGTATATGTAGAAAATTGATCACCTCATCTTTCTCTCTGGCCTACTGAATATGGAATTTAAATTTTTTTTTGCATACAAGTGTGCCAGCTTGTCTGCATGGACACCACATGCACGCAGGTGGCTGTGTCAGATAGAAGAAAGCATTGGATCCCGAGGAACTGAACTTACAGCTGGTTGGGAGCCACTTAATGTGGGTGCTGAACCCAGATCCTCAAGAAGAGCAAAGTCTCTTACCTGAGCTGTCTCTCCAGCCCCCTCTACTGGAGCTTTTTATACAGTGATAAGTTCCAAGGCATCCTGAGATTTTGATCTGGAGTTTATTTAACCCATGAAACTGGATCCTTACTATTTTACATGCCTCAAAATTAGTGTTCTGCCTAATGCTGTCCCTGACAAGCATCCTATCTTAGTGGACATCTGAAACTTGTTTAGGAATGGGTGAAGCTTGCTCAGGATCAAAACCAGTGGCCAACATTTTGTTAAATTTGAGCATCATATATATAACCGGAGGGTTTGAGGGTCCCATAATACTACCCACTGAAATAAAAAGAGCAAGTGAACAAACTACAGGTTTTGTTCATAACTAGCTGAGAGAATTTAATTAGATGAGAAGGAAGAAATGAGGCCCATGAGAAAGATACAAAAGGGAGGGTTTATGTTAGTTCAGGCAGCGGGAGTAGATGTCATGGCACCACCCCTGCCAAGGAGGGAGACCCTGGTTTCTCTTCAGCTGGTGTCACTCTTTTCCACTCGGCTCCTTTTGAAAGGCTGCCTGGATGCACAGCGTCGTCCTCTGAACTGGCCCTTTCCAGGCTCCTCCACTTCCTTCTCCTAAGTGATTTGCTCTTGCTGAGGCTTTGCCCTGTGGTCCCGCATGTGCCAGCCCTTTCCACAGAAGGGCATTGTCCCGCGCAGATGTGGTCCTGCGATGAATGCCTCAGTCTTTCAGGCAGCTCTGCCTGCCACTCGCTGAGGGAGGACAGAGGGTCATTCTGTGGGTTGTGCTTTAATACATGCTGGGCAGGCCCTCCATAGCAGGCCTTCTACTCTGCACAAATGCTTTCCTTTCTTCTGACTGCTGAGTACCCGATCACATGGTCACTTCTCATTGGGGTGTTCTTTTTGTGCTCACAGAGAACGGGATGACTTAATGTCTGCACTAGTGTCTGTGCGGAGCAGCTTGGCAGAAGTGCAGCAGAGAGAGACAAGTGCCTATAAACAGGTGAAGCATGCTGTGCAGATGACCGAGGAAGCCAACTTTGAGAAGACCAAGGCAAGTCTCTAGATGGCCATGGGTACTGCACACAGCCACTGCTTCCCCCGAATATTGCTGTGGTTACTTTTCATAACTAAATAATGCCAAACACATAAAACAGATGCCAGTCCACTAATGCTGGCTTCTCTAAATTAGGCAAACCTGCTGTTTGGAGAATTCTTATTCCTCTGCATATTTCTGTCCTATGACTACCCAGAGATCGTAGGACAATATGGGAAGGCGCTGTGGGGGTTGGCGACTTCATCTTCTTGTCATTGAGAGTTTTCAGTGCTGTGAACATCGCTTGCTTAACTGTGTTCCTGTGTGACTAAAGGCAGATGTTTTCCTCTGTGAGTAAGAACTTTTAGGATATCTGCATATGCCAACACTAATCACACCTGTGTGTCTGGTTATGTCTTTAGATGTGAATTTGGATCCTTTGTGAGCTAAATTAGACGTACCTGACAATAGTAATAAAATAATAGTTTATACTGAGCGATCACTGTTCTTGATACTTTGAATAATTGGAGGTTACTATTGATTGATTGCTATGTTTGAGGACCACACTTTAATCAATTAAAGTTGTTCTGTATTTTCCTTTGACATGTTGCTGGCTGTTTTTCAAGTATTTAATAGGCACAGATAGCCAGAAATAACCACAGTGGTAGAGCACACATAGAACATGTTGTCATCACTGGTGGTTGTGTTAGACAGCATGTGTCTAACATGGGTGTATATTGAATAGCCCTGATCTGATGTACATCCCAAACCTGAAGTCTTTTAAGTGCTAATAAGATTTCAAGAAGTTTTGAAATTTTAGATTTGTGGTTTTGGCATATGGGTGCTCATTTGGTAAATTCTACACAAATACTGTGTCTTAGTTAGGGTTCCATTGCTGTGAAGAGACACTATGACCACACAACTCTTATAAATGAAAGCATTTAGTTGGGGTGGGTTGCTTACAGTTCAGAGGTTCAGTTCACTATCAGCATGGTGGAGAGCATGGTGACTTGCAGGCAGCTGGAGTTCTGGAGTAGTAGCTGAGAGTCCTATATCTTGTAGGCAACAGAAAGTTGATTGAGACACTGGGCAGTGTCCTGAGCATAGGAAATCTTAAAGCCCATCCCCACAGTGACATACTTCTTCCAACAAGGCCATAAACACACCAACAAAGCCACGTCTCCTAACAATGCCACTTTCTATGAGATTATGGGGGCCAATTATATTCAAACTACCACATTCCACTCCCCGGCTTCCATAAGCTTATGACAGTAATAATGCAAAATGCATTTAGTGCAACTTCAAAAGTCCCCATAGTCTATCCCAGTCTCAACAGTGTTTGAAAGTCCGAAGTTCAGAATCTCTTCTGAGATTCATGCAGTTTCTTAACTGTAATCTCCTACAAAATCAAAATCAAAAAACAGATCACATATTTCCAACATACAAAGGCACAGTATATACATTAACCATTCCAAAATGCAGGGAAGGGAGCATAGTGAGGAAATACTGGACTACAGTAAGACTGAAAACCAGTTGGTTACACTCCAAACTGCATCCTTGTCTGATGTCAAAATGCTCTTCAGATCTCCAGTTCCATTCAGCTTTGTTAACTGCAACACACTTTTTTCTTGGGCTGTTTCCACTCCCTGTTAGCAGCTCTTGTCAGAAGGTATCCCATGATTGTGCCATCTCCAGCATCTTGGGGTCCAAGGCTGGAGCTTGGACCAGGCTTCAGCTTCATAGCTTCATGAATAGCCTCTCTAGGCCTCTATTCAGAAACACCCCTGACACATGCCTGCCCTCAGCAGCTTTCTTTGGGCCTGGAGGCAAATTCCATAGCCCATTTCTTCTGTCCTTAATTCTAAAACCAGAACCACGTGGCTGAAACCGCCAAGTTCTGCTGCTTACTGGGGCTGGAACATGGCCCCTCCTTCAGTTACATCCTCACCAGCGTTTGTCCTTCACTGCCCAAACTGGGCTGTCCCGAAACTGGATCTGTAGACCAGGCTGGCCTCAATCTTAAGAGATCCGCCAGCCTCTGCCTTCCCAGTGCTGGGATTAAAGGCGTGCACCTCCATACCCCCACACTGGGCTCTAAACTTTTCTTTACTTCCTTTTCACAAATGGAAACTTAGCTGGGTGGGATCTTGCCTGAGGTCACCACTCCCTTCATTCCATTTCTTAATCGGTTTATCTCCTCCTAACACAGGACTTAGTTCCACTCCACTTTCTGGTGCTCTTTTTCTCCTCAGCCTGCCCCTTTTTATTATATATCTTCATTAGAGTAAACGCTAATAACCATGAGACAGAATCTACACTGGGCTGTTTTGAGATTTCCTCAGCTAGTGGAGTCAATCCAAAACTCTTCACGTTAGCCTCAAATTCCAGCAGCTAATGGGAGCAGATGCAGAGACCCACAGCCAAACATGACACAGGGAGAGAGCCCAGATTGGAAATCTTCATCAGATCCCTCCCCTTGGAGCTTGGGAAACCCTATAGAAGCAGGGGAGGAAAAATTGTAAGAGCCAGGAGCATCAAGTACACCAGGAGAACATGGCCCACAGAATCAACTAAGCAGGGCTCACAGGGGCTCATAGAGGCTGAAGTGTCAATTTTGGAGCCATCATGGGTTTGCTCTAGGTCCTCTGCATATATGTTATGGCTGTTAGCTTGGTGTTTTTGTGGAACTCCTACAGTGGGAGTGTGGGTGTCTCTGACTCTTGCGGGCTCTTGGGACCTTTTTCCTCCTACTTGGTTATCTTTCCCAGCCTTGATATGAGGGTTTGTGCCTAGTCTTATTGTAACTTATTATGCCACATTTGGTGGATATCCCTGGAAGGCCTGCTCCTTTCTGGAGGGAAATAGAAAGAGTGCAGAGCATTGGGGGTGGGGTGAGAGCGTAGAGGGAGGGGAAACAAACTGTGGTTGGGATGTATTGTATAAGAGAAGAATAAATAAGGAATGGAAGAGGCGTTGCATACTGTGAATCCAGGATTTTCACCGCATTCACGGGAAAGAAGGCAAAGGCTGGTTGTCACGTGGTTGACGTGACGTGATGAAAGTCTAGTTTTTACCTTAAGTTCTGATGAGACATATGAACTTTTCTTTGGGGGGTAGGGAATTAAAAGATAGTAAGTATGGATATTTTCAATTTAGAATTACTTTTTAATCCAAAGTAGTTCTGTGTTTCTTAGTTTCTTGGTGTTTATTGCCATCTAGTGGACATTGTTTGTATTGCATGCCAGGTAAAAGGCATTGCTTTATTGCATTGTTTACAATCGTAGTAACTGTTTTTAAGAAAACAAATATCTGATATGACCACAATGTCATTTTCAGGTGATGGTGTGAAATTGCTGTCCATCAAATTTCTACTGTTCCACCAAATCTGTGATTTGGGCAAATTAATTCATGTTTCACGGCCCTGGTTTTTATTTGTTTGTTTGTTTTGTTTTTTGTTGTTGTTTTACCTGAATGATAAGAACCACTTAAAATTTGTTAATGGGGTTAATGAAATGACTCTATACTAGCCACTTAGAGAGATTTTAATGCATAGCAAGTGTTCAGTGGAAGGCTGTGTAAATTATTACAACCGGAGATAATTTTTAAAGAAAAAAAGAATGGCAGAGTGTTTGTAGTACTGTGTTGGTAAAACTCCAAGAAACAGCTGGCAAAAGTTCACACTCCTTCCACCTGCCTGCCTGTCGTAGGAGGGAATGCTGAGTGATGTATGGAGGGTTAGGCTTAGGAAAATGGGATGAGCACATCACAAATGAGAGAACACTCTATGGAAGATTTTCTTTAAAATTGGCAATATAAAAGGTTAAAAGGTTAAATAAGTGTTTGTTTTTTGAGACAGGGTTTCTCTGTGTAACTGTGGAGGCTGTCCTGAAACTAGCTCTGTAGACCAGGCTGGTCTCGAACTCACAGAGATCCACCTGCCTCTGCCTCACAAGTGCTGGGATTAAAGGCGTGTGCCACCAACGCCTGACTGTTTGTTCTTTTAAAAATGTCTCTATTATTCTGTGTCTTGGATTGTGGTAGAATCAAAAAAGCAGGAATAAGAGACTTGGATATTGTGGAGTATTTGTTTAACCAGGCAAAGGCGTGTTACATTTGTTTCTGCTGCATTTGCTTATGTAATGATGTGTTGCATCTGTTTCACCTTGTCTGCCTAAGGTACCTGATTGGTTTAATAAAAAGCTGAATGGCCAATAGCTAGGCAGGCAGGAGAAAGGATAGGCTGGGCTGTCAGGCAGCGAGAATAAATAGGAGGAGAAAGCTAGGCTCAAGAGAAGGAGGAGGAAAAGAAAATGACGAGATACCAGCCAACAAGAAATAGAGACTGTAGGAAAGTAAGACATACAGAGAGAAAGAAAAGTAATAACCCCCGAGGCAAAAGGTAAAGAAAAACAGGTTAATTTAAGATAAAAGAGCTAGCCAGAAACTAGCTTAAGCTAGGCTGAACATTCAAAATTAATAAGTCTCTGTGTCTTGATTTGGGAGCTGGTTGGTTGCCCAAAAGAAAAAGCCTGTTAAACTTGGAGTGGAAAAAAAATTATCAGAAAAGCATTGAGCATTGGACTCCAATCAAAGGCATGGAAGTAATGCTCCTTGCATCACATTGTCTGCTGCAAAACAAGAAAAACACAAAAAGGACAGTGGCCCCAGAAGATTGTAACACAAATAATAAAAACCCATAAACAGATATTGAGGTTCAAGCTGAAAGACCGAGAAGCAAAGTAACCAGCCAGTGGCTCTTAGCTCTGCGAAGGTTGAAATGGAAATCCTGTCTCCCGTGACAGAAGCTAAATCTCTCATGAGACTTTTCCTGAAATGGAAATCCTGTCTTCCTGTGACAGAAACTAAATCTCTCATGAGACCTTCCTTATATACCTTTCTAGTGCTGGGATTAAAGGGATGAGCTCTGTTACTCTTTAAGACGGATTCACCCTCATGTAGTCCTGGGTGCCCTTGAACTCACGGAGATCCATCTGCCTCTTTCACCTGAGATTAGAGGTGTGGCCACCACTGCCCAGTTTCTGTGGCTGACTAGTGTGGCTGCTTTGCACTCTGACCTTCAGTTGCTTTATTAGATCATAAACAATATATCGCCACAGAAGATCCTAAGAGAGGTGATGGAATTCCTATCAGCTACTCAAATGGTAGTGTTAACAGGTGTGTGTGTGGTGGTCCTGGGACAGGCAAGCTTACTGTTGCATTACAATGTGGCATATGCAGCAATGTGTGGTATGTAAGCCTCAGTAATAAAAAGCAGCTCTGTTATTGGCTTACATATTTGCTCTACTTATTATTTTAGAATGTATCCCACATGTATACATAATACATGCATACATAATACATACGAGCTCACTGTGAAACAGTGTAGTATTACACCAGCAGCAGCCCCATCCACTTCATATTTAGTGTTTCTTGATTGTTTCAGAGGCAGTCACATGACCGATAACATCTAGGCCTATGTAAGTTTGAAATTACATAATGATGCATTTCTCAGAACATGGTCGCTGATGCACGCCTGTGCAGATAGTCTCAATATAGACTTATTGACACATTTCTGGTAAACAAGTATTTATAAATTACAGGCAATACCTTTTTTTATTCATAAGTAAGACACATATGTTGATAATCATTCTTATTTAATGGGCTTTTCCACAAAAAATAAATTCACATTCGTAAGTTTCAAATTTTATGTTCAATAATAGTAAATAGTAAATCCTCATAATACCTTAATTTATTATTCATGAGTTTTTTTACTGGGATTTCTAGGAAACTATCCATCACAGTTGAGAAGGGAAATTAGAGATGTCATTAAATAGGTTTTCTATTTTAAAACTTTAGTGGACAGATGTCAGTTTTGTTGTGGAAATTGATTGATTCCTTTAGGATAGCAGTATTTACATTTGGCTTAATAAAACTAGATTTAGAAATACTAAATATAATAAATTATGTTTTGAAATAAATGTTGGTAGGGAAGCGCAATCTTTTGCCAGGTGGTGGTAGCACATGCCTTTAATCCCAGCACTCGAGAGGCAGAGGCAGGTGGATCTCTGTGAGTTCGAAACCAGGCTGGTCTAGAAGAGCTAGTTCCAGGACAGCCTCCAAAGCCACAGAGAAACCCTGTCTCGAAAAAAATAAATAAATAAATAAATAAATAAATAAATAAATAAATAAAATGTTGGTAGGGACAGCAAAGGAAGAACTTGATTTGCATTCACTGGCTGGGAAAAGCACAGTTCCTCCAATCCTCATAGCTGGTAGCCATTTCCACCAAGGAAGGAGAAGGAGAGGCCACCACACCAGCTCCCCCAGGAAAAACGGAGCGCAGGCCCTACTTGGTCATCGTCATCTTAGTTGTGACCTTGCCTTTGAGAATTTAGTTTCCCTCATGGTTAGATGTCAGCTGGGGTTCTGGAAAATTAATAAATGTAACCCTTGAATTATAAGGAATAGCATCCTGCAATAGTCTGTAAATATCAGGCTAGGAACCCCTCAGCTTCAGGTGAGGTACAGTGTAAGAGAGATAGCCTTAGATCTCAGGGGTTCCAAACTCCCTGGTTTAGGCCCAGAGGGTAAAGTGATTTCTATTCAAGCATTAAGACCTGAGTTTGGATCCCAACAGCCGGATCAAAAGCGAGATGAGGCCGTATGCACTTGTACTATCAATCCTGGGGGTGCAGCAGTGGGGGGATGGGATCTCTGGAGCATGATAGCCATCAGTCTAATTGGTGAGCTGCAGGTTCAGTGGGAGACCCTGTCTCAAAAATTAAGGTAGAGAAGCGGTCGTGGAGGACGCTGGCTTCCATATTCACACATATATGTATATATTCACTACACACATGTATGTACACACATACACACGACCAAATTTATTTCCAAGTGTTACTAAACCTTAACTACTTTTTTTCATTGTAACCAGGTATAAATGTCAAAAAAAAATGAAAAGTAAATAAAATGATCATTGATTACATACGTAGTGATGTCATAACAAGTTTGGTTTGGGGTTTTGTTTTTGTTTTGTTTTTTTTGAGACAGGGTTTCTCTGTATTGTTTTGGAGACTGTCCTGGAACTCGCTCTGTAGACCAGGCTGGCCTTGAACTCACAGAGATCTGCTGCCTCTGCCTCCTGAGTGCTGGGATTAAAGGCGTGTGCCACCAACACCCAGCCATAACCAGTTTGTAACCTAAGGTTTAACTCAGTGCTCCCCTCCTACCTACCATATTCTTGCAGGTGGGCCGGCAGAAGGTGGGAGGCCACCCACACAGCAGTGGTCAGCAGGGTTTGCTGTTAGGGCTGACTTAGGGCTTCACTTTGTGCATTGCACTGAGGCAGCCTACAGTCTGGCCTCTGTGCCCGAGAACCATTTCCTGATCTGCTGACTGGACTCTTGCACTCCCCTGTGCGGTTGGGCTGCTTTCTCAGCTGCTCTTACTCGCCTTCTACTTAAAGACATTGACGCTGAAGTCATTCAGGTGGAAATTTCTCTGGCTCCATTGGTTCTATTTACTCATACCAATAGTATTCATTATAACAGTGAAAGTTCCAGGTTTGCTTGTTTTTACTAGATTAATGGAAAGTAATTTTCACCAACACGATTGTATTTTGAAGCACAGAATTCTGTATTGCCCAGTACTTCAGGCTCCAAGGGATTCTGTTATAAAAAAATATACTTTTTCATTTTCTTTTACAATCTAATTGTAAATTTTCTTCCTGAGGCCTTCCGCTAGGATTTAGCTGGGGACTCACTCCACTGGAGAACTTTAAAAATCAGGATTGTGTTTGTTTTGGCTAACCAGACACGTCTTGTAGCCTCAACTGTGAAATGGAAATCTGTGAGCAAGTGTGACATTGGGATGCTGCTGTGACAGTCAGTGGTGCTGACCAACAGTCATCCAAGCGGGCTGGATGAGTGAGTGGGTTTAACGGTCTTAAAGAAGAGAGCCTGTACCCGTGTGATTTCTCCCTGCTGTGCTCCCCACTCCTGAAGTCTCTTCTCATTGTCTCCTGTGGCAGGCTTTGATCCAGTGTGAGCAGCTGAAGAGTGAGCTGGACAGGCAGACAGAAAGACTGGAAAAGGAGCTTGCTGCTCAGCAAGAGAAACGGGCTTTGGAGAAGGAGATGATAAAGAAAGAAGTAACCAAGGAGAGGGAAGATGCAGAGTCAAAGGTACTGGCTCGACATTTCCCGTGGTCGTTAGTGGGCAGGAACCTGAGGGGGAGAGTGATAAGGGGTAGGACTGGCTTTGGCTCAGTTTCAGGCCGTCTGGAGGGGAAGGCCGTACAGAGCTACTGGCCGTGGGGGTGTGCACACCTGAGTCCTCACCCAGCTCTGCTGCAGCTAACGGTTTCTGCAGTCCTCCTGTGCATCCCTTTCTACCTCTCCTTCCCCTGCGGCAGATGAACTGGAGGCCCTGGGGATGTAGTCACAGGACCAATGCTGCTGTCCCATAACTACAGACTTAAGGGAAACGTGGCTGCTAAGCAAATCTGTTCATAAATGACAACACCTCTCAAGCTAGACGCTCATGAGAGACTTTTTATCAGGAGGATTGTGAAGGGAGAGTCGGGTGAAGCATTGAGTTCGGGGGAAGAGTGTCAAGCCCAGGGAAAGCACACACCCACAGGAGCCAAAGGTCTGTGCATGGTCGGGTCTGCAGCTGCCGACCATGGCGGTGGAGCAGAGGGATAGAACAGTGGAGGGGGAAGTGTGGAGAAGCAGACAGGGAATGAATCACCCATGCTTTTAAAATCTACGTATTAGAAATTTCATCCAAATGTGACATTAAGCCACTGAATGGCATTAGAATGGACAATGTTGTAATGACATGAATATTTGAGGAAAATCACCTTATTACTAAATTGGAGTAGAACTAGAGCATGTGCCAAGAGAATCAGGTTGGGGTTAGGTTTGGCATGTGTGTGTGTGTGTGTGTATGTGGGGGGGTGACATCTTGTATCCAGGAGATCACTGGGGGTTAGTTATGGCATCTGGGGGCAGTAATAGCATCTTGGTCTGTTGCAGAGTATTATTTTAAGGTGTGTTACTTTTGTTTATGTTCTGGAACATCTGTTTAATGATGCAAAGATATGTTTGATTAAAGAAAACTCACCTGGGGTCCTGGGGCTGGGTCAGCAACTAGCCGACAGGAAGTTGTAGGGAGGAGCCAGGTGGAGAAGCGTTTATAAGGAGCGGCAAGAACACGCACGCACGAAGACGTCTTGGGAGGCACAAGGAGGTGAGCTAGGTGAGCTGCTTGCTATTCACCCTCTCTGGGAAGCAGGATTCTACCTCAACCTTTGAGTCTCGAGTTCTTTAGTGGACAGAGATTTAAATAAGTTTCTACAGTAGCTTTGAAAGAATCAGTGCCCAAGGGAAACTCCTTTCTTTTTTCTCCTTGCCCCAGTAGAAACAGTTCATCAGGTGGTCCCAAACAGGGATCTGATCACCCTTGGCTGCCCCCCTCACACACACACACACACACACACACCCAGCATTACCTCCATGAGTTAGAGAAACCCGCCTTCTCTCTACTCTGTGTCACTGTTTCCTCACCGTCAGATGGCACTTCCAGCCCTGTGGTGTCTTTGCCACCAACCTCAACTCACTTGTTCTTTAAACCACAGCTGGGATGATTTTTCTGTGGTGAACATCTGAGTGCACCAGTGTCTTGCTTTAGGCCTTTCTTGTCTCTCTGCTGCCTCAGATAAACTAGGACCCTTTAGCAAAACCTAAAGTCTCTGCATCGTTTCTCCTCTCCCTTCATTTTCTTCCTTGTGTCCCTACCACTCTGGCCTCCTTGTACTGCTCCAGTCATTCAGACAGCCAGTCTGCCCTGTTTGTTTGTTTTGTTGTTTTGGTTTTTTGTTTGTGCTTGTTTTGTGGCTTTTGTTTCTTTGTTTGTGCTGTATAGCCTTGGCTGTTCTGGAACTTACACTTGAGACCAGGCTGCCATGAACTCAGAGATCCACCTGCCTCCACCTCCCAAGTGCTGGGATTAATGTCATGTGTCACCACCACCCGACTATTTGTTTTTATTCAAGATTTTGAGTGACTTATCATTACACTTGTCCAAAAGAGTCTTTCTTTGTTCTGTTTGCTCCTTCATAGTTCTTGAAACAGCCTCCATCAGAGCCTCCCAAAGCCAAACTAGGATCTACTCTGTGTGTTCCCACAGTTGATTACAAATTCTTGTGGGATTGTTGCCTTCTCTACCTTTCTGTGAGTCCCTGTATATATGACCTGACATCCTCATTGCTTAGCAATGCTTAAATATATATTTTTGAATGAAATGTGAATAACATGGAAGAGAAAGAAGGCCCTGTGGCATCGGAAAGACAGGGCTAAGGCAGAGTCAGAACTGATTGCTGTCTGCAAGTGATCATGGCGATTCAGGAAAGGTGTTTGGCTGAGCTCCAAATAATAGGTGAATAGGTGGGATTTAAAATCCTAACTACTGAGGAAGGAAGTGGCCTCTGTTCAACCCGATGAAGGCATGGAGGAGCTGTAGTTTTGAATTGGCTGTTGTGTGTATGTGTATATGTGAGAGAAAATAGAATCAACCACACACAAAGGCTATTGCTCACACCTAGGGAACTTTTATTTGGAAAGGGGCTGGTTTAGTGGAAACCATTTGACTCAGTAGCTTCACAATATAAAAACACTTGGGTGAGGATTTCGAAAAGGAAGGAAAAAAAGGGGGCACAATGAACTGTGCTTGGCAGCATGCCAGGTACATTTGTACAGGAATCTCTCCCTGGTGGGCACTTCCTGAGTAAAGGTGGCAGCTGCCACGCTGCACAGGGTCACAAATGGAGTAAGCCCTGCAGACATTTGATCTCAGGTGCGAGTACAAGTGTAAGAGTAAGGACAACTAGTCCCAGCAGCCAGGTGGTGGTCTCATCAGGGAGAATGGCTTCAGAGGAAAAAGATGGGGGAGTGAGTCCAGTTTGATCTCTCTGGGACTTTCTCTAATCTTTGGGGGTGATGAGCCATTCAAGCACTTGATGGGATTAAATGTGATGATACTTTGAAAATGTCCTAATTCCTGTCTACTGTGGGCATTGAATAAATTGCACCTGTGCCTGTCACTTATATTTTAGAATGAGCAGTGGACTTGCTGGACCTGTGTATTAGTATTGACAGGCTTGAATACAAGCTCTAGCTGGACCTTTTACGTATTATCTTGAATGAACTTGGGCAAGTAGCTTAGTTTTCTTAATCTCATTTCAGGAGAACTAAAAATTAATCCAACTAATTCAATTTGTATTAATATAAATCTGGTACAATTCTTTCTCTAAAGCGACCTAAGTGCACACACATGTGCACCCCTAGGGAAGTACCTAGTTTCCCATACGGCTGGAGTTTCTGCATAAGCAGCTACAGTGGTTGGAATGCACAGGCCTCAGACATGGGTACTGTGATTTTTGTAAGAAGCACTCTTTATTTTATATATCAAGCCCCCCATTCCCTCCCCCTCTTATCCTCCCATGCTCCCCACTGAACCCCCAACTCACCCCCACCCACTCCCCAAGGATAGTGATTTCCTATCAAGGGGGACCATCAAAGTCCTTCACATCACTGGGGGAGGGCCTAGGCCCTCTTTCCCGCATCAGGGCTGCAATAGTATCCCTCCATAGGGAATGAGTTCCCAAAGTCCATTTGTGCTCTAGGGATAAACACTGGCTCCCACTCTTAGAAGTCCCTTAAACTGCCCTGGCCTCCTAGCTGGCACCCACATTCAGAGGGCTTGGTTCCGTCCAGTGCTGGTTCCCCAGCTTTACAACTAGGGTCTCCATGCTCTCATTAGGTCAGGTCAACTGTTTCTGCAGTTTCTCCAACACAGTCTTGGCTCCTTTGCTCATCCCTCCTCCCTCTCTGCAACTGGATTCCAGGAGTATGGCTCAGTGTTTAGCTGTGGGTGCCTATTTCTGCTTCAGTCAGCTACTAGATGAAGGCTCCTGTTTGTCTTTCTTTGGTTGAGTTCCTTCACTCAGGATGTTTTCTTCCAGTTCCATCCATTTGCCTTCAAATTTCAAGATTCCATTGTTTTTTTTCCGCTGAGTAGTACTCCGTTGTGTAAATGTACCACATCTTCATCCATTCTTTGGTTGAGGGGCATCTAGGTTGCTTCCAGGTTCTGGCTATTACAAACAATGCTGCTATGAACATAGTTGAACATATGTCCTTGTTGTGTGAATGTGCATTCTTTGGGTATATGCCCAAGAGAGGAATTGCTGGATCTTGAGGTAGAATGGTTCCTATTTTCCTGAGCAACTGCCATACTGATTTCCAAAGTGGCCACACAAGTTTGCACTCCCACCAGCAATGGAGGGGAGTGTTCCTCTTTCTCCACATCCTCTCCAGCATAGGCTATCATTGGTGTTTTTGATTTTAGCCCTTCTGGCTGGTGTAAGATGATATCTCAGAGTTGTTTTGAGTTGCATTTCCCTGATGGCTAAAGATTTTGAGCACTTTCTTAAGTGTCTTTCAGACATTTTAGATTCCTCTATTGAGAATTGTCTATTTAGTTCTGTACCCCACTTTTTAATTGGATTGTTTGGTGTTTTGGAGACTAGCTTCTTGAGTTCATTGTAAATTTTGGAGATCAGCCCTCTGTCAGATGTAGGGTTGGTGAATATCTTTTCCCAGTCTGTGGGCTGCCATTTTGTCTTGCTGACTGTGTCCTTCGACTTACAGAAGCTTCTCAGTTTCAGGAGGTCCCATTTATTGTCGACTCAGTGTCGGTGCTACTGGTGTTATGTTCAGGAAGTGGTCTCCTATACCAGTTCATTCAAGGGTACTTCCCACTTTCTCTTCTAAGAGGTTCAGTGTGACTGGATTTATGTTGAGGTCTTTGGGTACCATGGTACCGTGATCTTACTCACAGTGCACACATTCGCTAAGAGCTAGCAAGCATGCAACGTTGCCTCTCCTGACTTTGTCCTTGCCTCCGCCTCCCAATCTCGACCCCCCCCCCCACTGCCTCCCCGAGACCTTGCAGTTTCACTCTTTTGTTCTAGATCCTTCAGTTTCACAAGCAGATCTGAAATACATGCCCAGGACAAAAGCTTGCCAACACAAAATATTGAATGAGGTATTTACTGGAACAAAAGGAGAAGGGCGTTTGCTTGTTATATTTTTAAAGAGTATAATCTGTGTGTAAGTGTGTGCATAGATAAACAGAAAGGAGGGATTGTCAGTTGATCCAACTGTAGCCGTGGAATCAGAAAGAACATTGCTTTCCAAACTGCTCCCTGGTGCTGGGGAGTCACTGAGTTGGTAAAGTGCTCCCTGCAGGAGCTTGAGGACCTGAGTTTGGATCCCAGCACCCAGGAGATAAAGCTGCATGTGGCTGTGTGTGCTGAAACCTCAGTGCTGGGGAGTTGGAGACAAAGCATCCCTGGGGCTCGGTGGCCAGCCAGGGGAGCTGAATCTGTGAGTCCAGGTAGTGAATGAAGACAGGGGGGCTGACTCTGACCTCAGCATGAATGTGCATACATGTATTTACATACTCCTCCCCCTCCCCCACACACCCAAGCTTTGGAATACAGTCTAATAGGGAAAGTGACCAATTAATCATTATGCTGTAAGAATTAGGTTGATAAAGTTAGTACAAAAACAGGTGCTCCTGGTTCTTACTAGTCAGACACTCAAGAGACTTAGACTTAGTCATCGCCCCTTCTCCCCCCACCTCCATTGGTGTGGGAAGCTCTAGGCGGACAGGTGCCTCTGCCTACCTGCCCATCCCCCAGCCCCGTGAGTAGTTCATGCTGTGAGTTTGTCTCTTGCTTTCGGGAAAGGTCCTTGTCTGCTCTGAACTGCTCTGGCTTGTTAGTTCAGTCCATCATCCATCATATGCTTGCTTGGTCACCCCCTACAGCCCGCAGATTTTCTTAGTCAGTTCCCTTGACAATCGCCCATTGCCAGAATCCTTAATTTCTAGAATCCTTAATTTCCTGAATCTCTTCTACCATTTCATGCAATATCCAATGTACTGGAAACCACTTTGCACAAATTTCTATCAAGCTTTCCCAACCGAGGTGTCCTTGTCTCTTCCTTGCCCCTGTCAAAGTTTAAAGGACTTACCTGATGTCAGTGCCTTGGACATCCAGCAGGGTCGCAGCTGTCTGTGTTACTTCTGGCTCTGCAACAGATGTGGATGGAGGAGCTCCTGCCGTGTAATGCTGACTTCCAGATGGTGGGCGTGGGGGAGAAGGTGTGACAACAGGAGGGGAAGCCTCAGGAAGTGGGTGACAGGAGGTAGCAGACAGGCAGTGGGCAGAGGAACTAAATGATGGTGGTAGAGGGAGGGAGTCCCAAGGAAGGGGAGGGATTTGGTATATGCCTTGTAATGGAAACTGATACAACATTATAATTATCAAAATAAATATCTGTATATTGACTTGAAACAAAAAGCATTCTTAATATAATAGTCAGATTTATCTCTACTTAAATATGTAATGTATTGGTTTGAATAGCTTGTCACTAAAATTTGCTGCTGTTATATGGCTCCAGAAGACCTATAATTACAGGTTTATGATATGGATAGTCATGAATTTGAGCTCTTAAATTAAGGAAATTAAATTGATACTCAATTTGCTCTGTTTATTTTCTTTTGACCTTTAACTATTGGTTCAGACTGTAAAGTGCACAAAGATACTTTGATACTAGTGAAGCTATGTGCAAATTAAGTTTTTGGATAATCTCTTAATGTTTGGGACATGTATATAATTGTATATCAACTGTACAGTTCCCCTTGATTTTCAGAAATGTTGATCTTTCTAAATTGCAATGTATCTATCTATAGGACTCAGTGTTTGCATTTTCGTCAAGTATGCTATTTATGTAATCAAATGCCAACACCTGACTTCGTTTCCTTGCTGTGAAGCTCTTTACAAAACTTTTGTTCAACGTTGATATGAGAGTTTTTATTACCATATATTAATTATATACAATAATGTGTTTCCTCTGGCTGTTTTCATGCATGCATATGTTTTGATCATTTTCATCCTCCCATCTATCTGCATTCTATATAATCTCCTGTCCCACTGCCCTTCTGTTTGCTTTTTGAATGTATGAACCAATGAGTTTAATTAGGCTTACTTGGTTTTGTTGGTTTGGGATTTTGATTTTGATTTGTGCCCATTGTTGTTTTGCCTGCATGTATATTTGTGAGAGTGTCAGAAGCCCAGGAACTGGAGTGACAGATGTGAACGTCTATGTGGGTATTGGGAACTGAACCCAGGTCCTCTGGAAGAACAGCCAGTAGTACTCTTAACCACTCAGCCATCTCTCTCACCTCTTATAGGCTTATTTATGTGAAGAAATTTTAGCTATTTATTTCAATTATAGAACAATGTACAAATGTCCGAGACTGCAGTAGAATTCAAGCATCATTGTTTCTTGAGCAGATTAAATAGATATCCCAGTATGCTTTTTCTGGGTTAGGGTAGCATTCCTTCATTTTAAATGTGTCAGTCCAGCTAAGAAGTTAACACAGAAGAGTTGGAATCACTGGAACAGAGCACAACTGTGAAGTCTAAGGACAATTAAGCATTTATTTTTCAGTCCTGAGAAGAGAAGAGTAAGACCTGATACTACATACAGATTCCCTCAGAAAAGAATCGTCCTAATTTTTATCCATATACTCCTGGGACATTTAGTGCCTTTTAATGAGCCTGCCCTTGAGGGACTTCTGGTTAAACAAAGAAACAGAACCAGGCAGCTAAAAACTATGAAACAGTGTGATTGAGTATCATGACAGTGGTTTACAGATGTGGAGGGTGGTGAGGCGTACGCACTGAGGTTGTGTAGGATTACATGATGTTGTAGCTCCCTGAATGTTCAGCAGCCAGGACGGCATGGGTAGTGACAGGGAGCATGGAAGCAGTACAGAGAGCAGGGGTGAGTGTCCCCATGCACAGCAGCTGATTGGCAGCTCTGAGGTGTGAACGATGCCTGTTCTGTGCTGGGATCTGGAAATTGAGGAGGGCTTCCTGGAAGACAGGAGATAGTTGCTCATCTGGTTTTTGACAGGACTGAGGAACACTGAGGATAAGTGCTGCTTGCCAACAGAGGAACTGCAGGGAACCCCTGTGCTGATTTGGGGGAAGGGAATCTCCTCTCTATCTCCATCTCATCTCTTTAAATTATCCTTTCTAATGTTTAATGTCCATGTGGGAAAGGACCTAGGAGTTGCCTGGTTCCTCCTGTCCCCATTTGAAATGTCTCCATCTCAGTCTGTTCCATACCATGTCACATTTGCTGTCTCGGGGTTTCAACCAGCCTTTAGACTCTACAATCGTACACCGCTTCACAACAAGTTAGAGTCCAGAGAGTGAATAGGAGTGAAGGAGGTATTTCAGGTGATGAGCTGAGTTGAGTAAGTAGAGAAGCAGACATTATCTAGCCCGCGGAGAAAAGATGTAGATCCCAGTAGCTGTGCAGACACCGAACCATTAAAATGCCTTTTACTATTCTCATTTTCAAATGTCACTGCCGAATTTATGTTTCCTCATTCAGATGTTGATCCTGTCTCAGAATATTGCCAAGCTGGAGGCCCAGGTAGAAACTGTTACAAGGGAAAAGATTTCAGCTGTCAATCAACTAGAAGAAATTCAGAACCAGCTTGCTTCTCAAGAAGTGGATGTCAGAAAGGTCTGAACAAGTCTTGGTTTAATAGTTAGTTGCTTAAGTACATATTTTCTTAGAATTATTTTTATTCAAATGCATTCTTTTTGTGTGTGTGACGGGGGGAGGGGAGGGCACGCATGCCATGGTGCTACTCTGGAGTCAGAGTCGGGTTTCTCTCCACTGTGGGCTGTCCCTCTGCTTTTCAGATACCATCTGAGCCATCTCATCCACCTTGAAACCGTTGTTCTTAATATCCAAAGCTCCTGGTGTGGTCAGGAAGAAGTATGGAATAGAAAAGTTTCATTATTTCCAGAATAATAAAGGTCAACTTAATGAGTCTATCAACAAACATTACTACTACAAGCACCACTCTGTGGTTGGGAAAATCCAAAGATAATTTGTACCAAATAATTGGCAAAGACAGACTTGTGAATAGGAGTTATATTGCTTTTATATTGTTGAATCCTTAAGAAAGCTAACTTTTCTGAGTTAGTTAAGCCAGGAGTGATTGTTTTTCTGCAAACAGTGTGAGGTTGGTCTTCCCAGCAACTGTTGAAGACTTGATAAAATATGTGCTTGATATAAGAAGTTTCTTCCTCTCATTTCTTTTTTTCAGATCTGCTTCTAAAACCAATGGATTAGATTAAATTCTTAGTTAAATCTTAAATTTAGCATGAATTCTTATTTTATTGATACTTAAGTTATACATTAAAATACTGTAGCATTTGTGCTCTGGGCCTCACTAGCCAGTCAAGTGAGAACTAAAACGTTTAATGGTTTTAACTGACTTAAGAATGTTAGTTTAGGGGCTAGAGAGATGGCTCAGTGGTTAAGAGCACTGACTGCTCTTCCAAAGGACCCAGATTCAATTGCTAGAACCCACATGGCAGCTCACAACTGTCCGTAACTCCAAGATCTGACACCCTCACACAAACATACATAGAAGCAAAACACCAATGTACGTAAAATAAGAATAAATGATTTAAAAAAGAATGCTAGTTTATCTGGGTGTCAAGTAAATCACTTAACTAATAAGAATATTGGCATATGTAATATGCAGATGAAATAATTCTTTACCACTAAATTCACAGATAATTCTATAACATGATAACCTATATTCTTGAATTTTGATACATTGTATTCCATTGTTGCTTTATAATTAAATAATCAAAATTATTTTAGCTTTTACATTATACATATACATACATCTTAACAAAAAGAGCTATTTCTCTTTTCACTTTTTAATTCTCCACTCACTTCCTAAAATTCATGGTTGATGATGAAGAGATTTAAGAAGCTCCCATTTGCTAACATACCTTCTGTGTCTGTCTGGAGATAGGGGTGGCAGTGAGGTCTGCCAAGGAATGGGCGTGCCGGTTTGCAGGGAAAATCATGGTACTGGTTTGTGGTTCGTTACAGGAGATACCTTTTTATGAAGCATCATATTGTAGTGAACAAGTTCTTGGCTCTGCAACTGTTCAAAGGACTCAAACTTCGGAGGGTGAAATAGTTTCCAACCCTGAGATGATGATTCTGGCTCAGTGTAAGGCCTTGACTTATTGTAGAAGACGTTCAAGTGTTGTGGATGAATATAGTAAGCAATGAGCTGAAAGAACTAAGGAAGCAAGAGTTCAAATTAAAGAATGGAGTGACTTTTAGAAGACTAGACTCAGACATTTGTTATACAGTACACTTAGATAAATGTCATTGCCAGTCGCAGCTGAGGAACTGTTATTTTCTGTTAGAGACTTGAGAATTTGTCACTTAATTCCTAGGCCTACTTAAGCCAAACAGTTTGGAATCGAGGAGACATTTTTCTTTAATGCTTCAATTTTATTTAGTATTTTCAGTTTAGAATTTTTTTCTTTTCTTTCTTTCTTTCTCTTTTTCTTTTTTTTTCTTTTTTTGTTGTTGTTCTTTCTGGGAGGATATATCAAGACAGGGTTTCTCTGTATAACAGTCCTGGCAGTCCTGGAACTCACTTTGTAGAACAGATTGGCCTCGAACTCACAGAGATCCACCTGACTCTTGAGTGCTGGGATTAAAGGCATTCACCACCGCACCTGGCTCAGCTTATTTTTTTGAATGGAAGAAAAAATTCTTTCTTGTTATGCTTTCTGACTTCTGGCTACACTTCCATCTTGTTCTAGTGCCTATTGTTTCTAAAGAGCTTTTTAGCTGAGCAGAGGAAGGCATATAGATTTCATACTTTACTATATTTTAATATTTCAAGAATGATGAGACTAATTTCTAAAGCTTTCAAAACCATCATTTTTGAAGACATGCCAAATTGAAAATTTGCAGGCAGAAATAACCATTAGTCCTCCGCTGGCCTCTGACCCCTACCAAGAGCCCTTATCCAGTGGCTGATGGAAGCAGAGGCAGACACCCACAGATATACACTGAACTGAACTCTGGAACTTAGTTGCAGAAGGGAGGCCTGAAGATCAAAGGGGTCGGTACCAGGCTGGTGAAACCCACAGAAACAGCTGGCCTGTACAAGGGGGAGCTCATCGACCCCAGACCTCCATCTGGGAGGCCAGTACGGGACTGAGCCAGACCCCTGAACATGGATGTCAATGAGGAGGCCTCTGCACTCTAGGGGGCCTCTGGTAGTGGATTAGTATTTTTTCCCTGGTGTAAGAAGGAACTTTGAAAGCCCATCCCACATCTCGGCCTGGACACATGGGGGAGGGCCTAGGCCCGGCCCAGGATGATGTGGTGGACTTTGGGGAACCCCTACCCAGCCTGGGGAGTGGAGGGTGGATGGGGTGGGGGGCAGGTGGGAGATTGGGGGGAGAGGAGGGGAGGGGAGGAGGGATTGACTTGTGAAGCAAGCTTGTTCCTAATTTGAACTAATAAAAAAAAATACAAAAAAAAAATAACCATTAGATAACATGCTGTCATTAAGACTGCATTAGGACCTCAGAAAGAGTTGTAACTCTGCTTTCTCTGGATTCCCTGTCACAGCAAAGGCTCATCATTTCTTTACTTAGACTTTTCTGATAATTCTATTTCTCAAATATGTTTCTCTATGTGCAGTGACCTGGGTTAGAGGAAAAAACCAATTGCATCATGTTTTGCAACATTTAAAGCTGTTATATGTATTAATTAGCTAACATATCATAGTTGCTTCATTTGAATGTATGTTTTCCTCTTATATAGAAGGCTACAGTTATAATTGTAGAGCATGCTTCATGCTTAAAGCCAATATATGACTTTTATTGGAAGTTATTCTATAGTCTTTAAGTCATATTGTGTCCCTATGACAATAAGATTGATGCTATCTGTAATGTTTACTGTAAGTTCTGGTATTGTATATCTAAATATCAATAATATAGTTTATTATCAAAGAAAAATTCATATAATTTTCCTTAAAAGCTTAACTGATGAAGTCTTTAAGGAAATAATTACATAGCCAGGGGTGATGGTACATGCCTTTAATCCCAGCATTCAGGAGGCAGAGGCAGGCAAATCTATGAGAGTTCAAGGCCAGCCTGGTCTACATAGCAAGTTCTAGGACAGCCAGGGCTACACACAGAAATCCTGTCTTAAAACAAAAGAAAACAAACAAAAAGAAATATTTTATAATATAGCGAGAATGTTTGACCGTATGTGTGAATAATGACATACTTTAACTTTTTCTAAAAACAGTATTTATTTATTTATTTATTTATCATGTATACAGTGCGTGCCAGAAGAGGGCACCAGATCACATTACAGATGTGTTGTGAGCCATCATGTGGTTGCTGGGAATTGAACTCAAAACCTCTGGAAGAGCAGTCAGTGCTCTTAACCCCTGAGGCATCTCTCCAGCCCCCATACTTTAACTTTTAATTACTAAGTTTAGTATAATTTTAGATGGTAGTACCTTTTATTAGTAATATTTCTTTAAAATTTTCTGCTTTTTAAAAAATTTGTTTATTTTTTGTTTTTCAAGACTGGGTTTCTCTGTGTAACAGCTCTGGCTGTCTTGGAACTTGCTTTTTAAGATCAGGCTGGCCTCGAACTCCCAGAGATCCACATGCCTCTGCCTCCCAAGTACTGGGATTAAAGGTGTGCACTACTATGTCCAGCCATCTGAAATTATTCCATATGAAATAATCCTGAAAATAATGCATTTCATTATTTTATTGTTTTGATAGTTTGAGAGAGGGGGATGTGTGTATGTCTGTGTGCGTGCATGCTTGCACGAAAGGGAGAGGTGTGTGTGTGTGTGTGTGTGTGTGTGTGTGTGTCTGTGTGTGTGTGTGTGTGTGTGTGTGTGTGTTCGTTCGTTCATACCCACACTGTACTATGCCACTCGAAGTCAGAAAACAATTTGAAGGAAAGGAATTTGTTCTCTACTTCCACGTAGGACTAGATTGAACTCAAGTAATCAAGCTTGGTGGCAAGTGTCATTACTTGCTGGTACATATCACTGGCTTAAAATTTCATTGTTGTAATTTGGAACGTTAAACTCAGTAATTCCTTGTATTATTGCCTTATTATTGCCTTCCAATCTTAAACCACATTCAATGGTCTTAGAAAAGTCTTGTTGTACTTCATCTGTGTGTCCTCTAGGGGGCACCAAAAGATCTAATTGTCGACATTGCTCTGCCATTCCAGAGGCTATCGATCTGTTTTTACACTCTAACAGGTGTGTGGAGAAATGCGATTTCAGCTGAATAAAACGAAAATGGAGAAGGAGGAGGCAGAAAAGGAGCACAGAGAATACAAAGCAAAATCTCAAAAGGATCTTGAAATGAAAGATCAGGTAAGGAAAGACACAAGCACAGCTCTGAAGCTATTAGTGACATGTTACTTTCTGACGTTGGTGGGGTCTTATCCCTAGGCTCTTTATTTGTCTTATATTGTTTCTCGCTAATGTAAGGGCCCACTTTATACTATTAAAAGAATTTCATTACAGTTGCCTGACATGAAGTGGTGAGAATACCACTGCTTGCATATGAAATTCCAATTTGACAGTTCATAAATATACATTTGGATATATATCTATTACTTAGAAAAGTTGAAAAAATGTTCTAATGCACAGTTTGAACCTAAAATATACGTACAGAAAGTTCTTGAAAGATGCCAACTTGCATCCAATTTTAAATGAAAAACTTTAAAATTTGTAAGATGAGATGAGTTGATATGTAAATATGTCAATCAAATTGATTGTTGGCAGAATGGAACCAGTTTTAACTAGATGGCCATGAATACGTTTGCTCAGGAAGCCTAAATACAGTGAAATTAGAAATGTTAGGGAAACTGCTACTTGCTTCAGTTTCAGCTTGAACAGATGTTTTATGTTAGAGCTCTGCTGAGGGTGTATAGATACTCCAATTTTAATTGACTCTTGGGAAAGCTTGTAAAGAGAAAGTTATGGCAGATTGACTCTGGCTGTTCTATTTTTATGTTATATTATAGGCCATTGAAGGTTTGCATTCCTTATAGCCAAGAAAAGCAGATTGTGTATTCTATTAAAATAATAAGACTGAGGTATCAGTATCAATAATTTAGAGATACCCTTACAATTTAGAAGTAAGTTGCTCTAGATAATTTTGCAACATATTTCTGATCAAGGCTCTCTATCATATTTTCAACATACTTTCCCTTTCAACCCATCAGCTGTTGATGACAAATGACATAAAGGCAATTGGGGAAAGTATTAAATAAGAAAGTGCTAATGAAGTTTTGTGCAAAAAAATTTCAAATCATGGCTGAAACCCTTGGTACTAATTTGAAACCTAGACAACTGGAATAAAAGTAGTTTTTATACCACTTTATGCAGACTTTATGGTGTGTTCTATATCTTCTAAGATCTTTGTATTAATGTGTGCAGACTTCATTTCCTCCAGCTGGGGGCGCACCTGATAGTGGAGTGGAAAGTTCTTCCATCGAGGAATGAAAGCCTGGGGCCTCCTAAATCAATGGAGCGCTTTCCTCTTTCTCATGCCCTACAGGTTCTTACAGCTATGTCGGCACACCCTGTGACATTATTAAATACCTTTTTTGAGTTGTTATACAGCACTATAGAATTATAATATTTTCAACCAATAGAACACAGAAGCAAAGAGTTTTGGGATGATTTAAAATTACATTACCATGTTTTAGTGATTTAAAAATTCCTACACTAACAAGAGGAGAATATCACTTGGAAATGAGTAACCTAGTTCAAAACCATTTCTAGTGTCTGTGTTTTAGCACAATATCTTCTTTCTCATGTGCAAAGGCTAAAGTTGCAAGGATTGATTTTTCTTTGTCACTGTTCCCTGATGTCTGAAATACAAGTTTCCCTGATGATCCTGATGTAGGTTGAAATGCGCCTTTTGCAAGAGCACAGTGTTTAGGAGTAAATCTGGAAGAGTCTGGAGATGTTTGCTTGCTATTGTTTTTTTTTTTTTTTCCTGGGACAGGCTGTGAGGAGATCTTATAGGTACTCTTTGCAACACAGTTTCAGAAAGTCGTAGCTTCTCATTCCCTGGATGATTTGGAGCAGCAAAGCAGCAATTGTTCTTTGGTCTCTCAGCCATGACCTGACCTTCTGTCTGTAAGAACGAAGAGCTATTTAGCTTGGCCACCATCTGCACCCAGGAGAGAAATTTACATTTAGCTTGGAAAAGCTTGCCATGGCAAGCATTTATCTGCAATACCTACAATGATGTAAAGCATATTTTAGTTTTAAAGCCTTATATATCATACAGTCGTCAGAACCAGAGGCCTGTCTCTTGGTTTGCAAACAGGTGTTCCCCATAATGTAGTCATTTTAATTCATATTTTAGCTAATCTGGCCACTTGATGGGTTTTGAAAGTAGGTGGGAAACTGTGAGATTGGAATGCGGTGAGAACAAGAGCCTCTTTGATGTATACAAAACAGGGCAAATGGTTGACCACCAAAATGATTTTCCTTGTGACCTGAGCCTTGACTCTGGCATAATTAGAAAGAAAGGTTAGAGGAGGAACAATGGCTGTCTCTTCCGCCCACTTTCTTCTTTTCTCTTTATATTGTGTCAGGACCCATGGGTGAATTATCCTTCCCATCAACTCCTTTGTGTTGCTCTAGCTCAGAGAACTGCTGTCGGTCTCAGGGGACGCTTCTGCACAAGGAAAACAAAAGGCATTTGGTGTGGAGATTGGAAGTTTGTGCCCTAATTTTTTTGGGGGTTATTTATTTATTTGTAAATATCAGGTACACACACACACACACACACACACCGTGAGAATTTAATAACACATGAACCGAAGGGAATGTTATAAACAAGCCATGCGCTTGGAAGGCTTCATCATTTACTGTATCAACCCTCTTCTACCCAGTTCAGTTTTTCTCTTAACTTCACCTTCATTGTCAGATTTTTCCATCTTATTTTCAAATTCTCATTGTCTTCCTCTACCCGTCCTCCTTTTGCAGAAATATTTCAAACAGGTATCAGGCATTATATTTATTATTTTTACTTACAAATACTTTACTGTATATCTATGAAGGAAAATTTCCTGTTATATTGTCACACCAAATAATACAGCAAGTGACTCCCAAGCAATGTTCACATTTCTTTATCTCAAAAATGGTTTGCAGTTGATTTATTCCAAAATGTAAGGCAGGTGTCTTTGTCTATTCAAATACTAGGGTGCTATCTTTAAAAGGAGCTAAAAGGAACACTTAAATAATAACAAAGTTGATTTTTTTTTTTTTTTGCTATTAAATTTCCCATGAAAGGCTTTGCTTGTGTTCTGTACTCCTAAAATATCTGGTTGTCCTCTGCCACACCACTATTGGAGCACATGGCCAACATGGGATTTTCATCCAGTTCAAGACGGGGGCCAGAAACTCTGAAATGCAAACTACATCATTTCAGAGCCCAATATTTTAAGATTCAGGAATTGTTAGGAAACCCCAGAATTGCCAGGTTAGCTGATTTGAAATGAACAGTGCATCTGGGGAATCGTCTTTGTCAACTTTGAATTTGATAGTTGAGTCTCAAAAGATGTGTGTTTTAGGCCCTAGCCTTTATCAGGGCTAGTGCAAGTAAAAATACAGGACTTTTTGTTCAAAGAAGAGAAGCATGATGTTAAAGATGCTACAATAGGAAGCTTTTCTTTTTCTTTTCTTTGTTCTTCAGGCTCTTGCACTCCTCTGCTTCCTGCTCCCCATCATGGTATTTTAAATGTGTTACTTAATTTGGAACTGTATATAGCACAAGGATTAGCATAGTAGCTGTAGAACCTCATAGGTACCCTATAACCAAGGGTGCCTATGTGATCCAACAGCTTCTAAGCTTTCTTTGTTTATATGTGTGTGCATGGAAGAGAGAGAGAGAGAGAGACAGACAGACAGAGAGAGAGAGAGAGAGAGAGAGAGAGTATGCACATTCATGTGAGAGCCAAAGTACAACCTTAGATGTCGTTCTTGGAAATGCTATCAACCTCGTTTGAGACACAGCATCTCTTTGGTATTAAGTTCACCGGTTACGTTATATTTGCTCTCCAACAAGCTCTAGGATTCATCCTGTCTCTGCTTCACTAGTAGGGGTTTACAAATGCCCCCATGTCTTCCTCTCAGTCCCATATAGAACTGCGATTGAAAGAGTGAGTCAGGTCTCAGAATGGAGCTAAAACTGTTGTTGCCCCATCCCCCAGCTTGACTTTGCCCATTGTCCCGGAAGCTGGAATTGGGGCGGGGAGATGATCCAAAGAAACCAGAACAATCGAGGAAGCTATTTATTGGTGATCTGAGCTTTGAAACTACAGATGATAGTTTAAGAGAACATTTTGAGAAACGGAGCGCTTTTTCGAACTGTCTGCTGATGTGAGACTCTCAACAAAACATTCAATTGGTGGGCTGGACCGATGGCTCAGTGGTTAAGAGCACTGACTGCTCTTCCAGAGGACCTGAGTTCAATTCCCAGCACCCACATGGCAGCTAACAACGGTCTGTAATTCCAGTTCCAGGGGACCCAACACCCGTGGCAAAAAACACCAATGCACGTAAAATAAAAATAAATAATTAAAAAAAAAAAAACCATGCAATTGGCTTTGGCTTTATGACTTGCTCTTGTGTTTAAAGAAGTTGGTGCAAAGTTGATGGGCATATGGTAGAACTAAAGAGAGGCATTTTTAGAGAGGGGTCTATAAAGTCTATAAAGCCTGTAAAGACTTCATTTAACAAAGAAGTCTGTGCTGATGGCATTAAAGAAAATACAGAGAATAGAATCTGAGAGACTACTTTGAAAAGTACAGGAGATTAAAACCATCCAAATTCTGGAAGTCAAGTAGGGTGGGAAGAAAGAGGATTTGCTTTTGTAAAGTTTGATGATTTTGACCCAGTTGATAAAACTGTCGTTCAGAAATACCAACTGTCATTGGACGTAGTTGTGAAGCGAAAAGGGACATCTCTTGCCACAAAGCTCTAGCTCCATGCCAGATTCCCGGGCTGCTGAGCAGGGATCTGACTTGCTAGTGGGCTTCCAACCCCACCTGTATCTGTGGCACAGAACATAAAGGTCTACTGAGTTACTCTTACTCTTACTTGGTGGCAAGATGGCTTGGCTTTGAGTCAGTAATGGAATTCTATATACAAACCACTCCCACCATCAGGACTGGAGAGGGAGATAGGCTAGCACACATGTACATAAAACATGCTCCACTGGCAGTAGGTCTTAAATTGTGTATGTTTTTACATTTCCTTCTCCTAGAGTGTACTTGATATTTGCTATCATTTTATATAGTTTTGTATCAAGCCTAAATCTCCTTCTTTAGACTAAAAGGGGAATTTAG